CCACCACCTGATTCCACTTCACCCTGGTTAGCCCCCTAATTGACAGTGAAACAGGAAATCGTCAATTAGACACAATTCTACGAATATGGCTCCCCAATTAATTGACAAGTGAGAGGGTGCATTTACGTTAAGTGTGGATTAAATTGAGACCAAGGAAGTATATACGTATTAATTAAGTATATACGTATGTACGTATTTATATTTAAGTATAGGTATTATAAGTATATATATATAGGTATTATAGTATTAAGTATAATACGTATTTATATTAAGTATATACGTATTAATTAAATGCTTGCAGGCTTACCGAGGGAGCCTAGTCCAAAGCATGGGTTATCTTGAGATGATTTCGGGGCTTTTTAGTGTCCCCGCGGCCCGGTCCTCGACTAGGCCTCCAGCCCCAGGAAGTAGCCCATGACAGCTGACTAACACCCAGGTACCTATTTTACTGCTAGGTAACAGGGGTATAGGGTGAAAGAAACTCTGCCCATTGTTTCTCGCCGGCGCCTGGTATCGAACCCAGGATCACAAGTCCAGCGTGCTGTCCGCTCGGCCGACCGGCTCCCTAACCTTGGGATCTTGGGCCTCACAACAGAATGTAAAATAAGAGATGAAGGGGAAATTCCACTAAACACCAAACATTCTAAATAAGATTTATTAATCAAAGATTATCAAATAAAAATAAAAGAATCACACTCTATCTGAATTGCATCCTACTAAAATATTTCCTACACTAGAGGCAATGTAGTTACTACCAGTAACCCAAATCAACTAAATTGACTGCTCAACTGGACCTAAACTCAACTGTATCAACTTTAAGCACTTTACCGTAATACTTTAAGCCAGCCAGCCAGGGAGCCGGTAGGCCGAGCGGACAGCACGCTGGACTTATGATCCTGTGGTCCTGGGTTCCATCCCAGGCGCCGGCGAGAAACAATGAGCAGAGTTTCTTTCACCCTATGCCCCTGTTACCTAGCAGTAAAATAGGTACCTGGGTGTTAGTCAGCTGTCACGGGCTGCTTCCTGGGGGTGGAGGCCTGGTCGAGGACCGGGCCGCGGGGACACTAAAAGCCCTGAAATCGTCTCAAGATAACCTCAAAATGATGGGTCGACTGTCCTCTCTTGCTTCGGCAGCGCTTCTGACTCCGTGTCCCAATATATGTCCTCCTGTCCCCACAAAGTGTCACTCAACACTGACAACACAGAATAGGCTTCTACGGGGTCCGTCTAATTATCCAAACTTCATTACAGACAGAAATCACAATAGCGAGATGCATCAAATGAACCATGTCGTAGCTCAGTCGATTACGGCAGCGTCTGGGATGCTCCCGGACGCAGGTTCGAATCCTCGTCACGGCCCTTGTGGATTTGTTAATTACCCAAAGCTTCTGAGCATTACGTAAGTAATGAAGATATATGACATATTTATTCACTATAATGTTGGTGCTGAATGTAGAACAGGAAAAAACATGTTTTCACTCTGAAATAATATTATTTTATAACGAAATTGGGTCCATCTAATTACCCAGTCACAACATTGTTGGAACGTCGACTTTCTGTGGCGTCACCTGCCACTTAGTTTCGTCTAATTTCGTTACAAAATTATAATATTGCAGAGTAAAAATATGTTTTTTCCTGTTCTAAATGCAGCACCAACGTTATAGTGAGTATATATGTCATATTTATTCATTACTTACGTAGTGCTAGGAAGCTTTGGGTAGCTTTGAGAATATTTGGGAAGCTTAGGGTAATTAGACGGGCCGCTTCTACGCTTTGCGCGCACTTTGAGGGACCAGCCACTGTGGTTGGCTCTTAGGTCCTGTCTCTCAACCGTCAATCAACAGGTGTACAGGTTCCTGAGCCTATTGGGCTCTATCATATCTATACTTGAAACTGTGTATGGAGTCAGCCTCCACCACATCACTTCCTAATGCACGACGACGTTTCCCGTCCTGGATTTGTCAACCACTCTGACATTAAAAAAAATCTTTCTAATATCTCTGTGGCTCATTTGGGCACTCAGTTTCCACCGGTGTCCCCTAGTGCGTGTGCCCCTTGTGTTAAATAGTCTGTCTTTATCTATTTTCTTCCCTATCAATTTCTCTGAGAATCTTGTACGTGGTGATCATGTTCCCTCTAACTCTTCTGTCTTCCAGCGACGTGAGGTTTAATTCCCGTAGCCTCTCCTCGTAGCTCATACCTCTCAGCCCGGGTACTAGTCTGGTGGCAAACTTTTGAACCTTTTCCTGTTTAGTCTTATGCTTGACTAGATATGGACTCCATGCTGAAGCTGCATACTCCATGATTGGTCTGACATATGTGGTATACAAAGTTCTGAATGACCCCTTACACAAGTTTCTAAATACCGTTCTAATGTTGGCCAGCCTGGCATATGCCGCTGATGTTATCCTCTTGATATGAGCTTCAGGGGACAGGTCTGGCGTGATATCAACCCCCAGGTCTTTCTCTCTCCCTGACTCTTGAAGAATTTCATCTCCCAAAGGATACCTTGTATCTGGCCTTCTGCTCCCTACACCTATCTTCATTACATTGCATTTGCTGGGGTTAAACTCTAACAACCATTTGTTCGACCATTCCTGCAACTTGTCCAGGTCTTCTTGAAGCTTCAAGCTGTCCTCCTCTGTCTTAATCCTTCTCATAATTTTGGCGTCGTCAGCAAACATCAAGGAACGAGTATATACTCTCCGGGAGATCATTTACGTATATCAGAAACAGGATAGGACCGAGTACAGTGTAATTACCTAAGTGTAATTACCTAAGTATAGTTACAGGATGAGAGCTACGCTCGTGATGTCCCGTCTACCCAGCACTCTTTGTCATATAACGCTTTGAAACCCAAAATGCTGTTCATTTCGAAACCCCAAAAAGTGTGTGTGTGAGTGTGTGTGCGTGTGCATGTTGCCCTGGGGGAGGGAGGGTGAATACATTACTGACAGTAAAACGTAATCCCATTTGTATAAAACAAACATCAGTATGCGCGAGAATAAACAAAACACAAGCATTTCCCCCCGCAGATATACACACAGACACAATAGTGGTGATCTCATTGTCGTTATTATACCCCTGATATACCCCTCTATATCCCTCATCCAACTGATGCTGATCTGGCTCACATATATCCTCTCACATGAAGAGCGGCTCCCTGCCTGAGGCAACTGGAGTCAGCAGCTACCTAGACAAATATCACAAACTGAATGCAGTATCATTCATTGATAACTGAGAACACTTCTATGTTAAATATGATATGTATGCTAGGGCCGGGATCATTTATCTGGGGCCGGGGTCATTTATCTGGGGCCGGGGTCATTTATCTGGGGCCGGGGTCATTTATCTGGGGCCGGGGTCATTTATCTGGGGCTGGGGTCATTTATCTGGGGCCGGGGTCATTGCTTTTGCAAATGCATAGCAATGTGTGGTTGGTGGGTTTGTCTGGGATTAAACTGTTAAATGATAGCTGTATGGGAACGTATTCGGGGAAAAGGAAGCAATAAGGGTGTGTGCTGGGAGGGGAAATGTTGGGGGAGGGAGGGGAAATGTTGGGGAGTGAGGGGGGAATGTTGGGGAGTGAGGAGGAATATTGAGGAGTGAAGGGGAATGTTGGGGAGTGAGGAGGAATATTGGGGAGTGAGGGGAAATGTTGGGGAGTGAGGAGGAATATTGAGGAGTGAGGGGGAATGTTGGGGAGTGAGGAGGAATATTGGGGAGTGAGGGGGAATGTTGGTAAGTGAGGGGAAATGTTGGGGAGTGAGGGGGAATGTTGGGGAGTGAGGGGGAATGTTGGGGAGTGAGGAGGAATATTGAGGAGTGAAGGGGAATGTTGGGGAGTGAGGAGGAATATTGGGGAGTGAGGAGGAATATTGAGGAGTGAGGGGGAATGTTGGGGAGTGAGGGGGAATGTTGGGGAGTGAGGAGGAATATTGGGGAGTGAGGGGGAATGTTGGTAAGTGAGGGGAAATGTTGGGGAGTGAGGGGAATGTTGGGGAGTGAGGAGGAATATTGGGGAGTGAGGGGGAATGTTGGGGAGTGAGGGGAAATGTTGGGGAGTGAGGGGAATGTTGGGGAGTGAGGGGAATGTTGGGGAGTGAGGGGAATGTTGGGGAGTGAGGGGAATGTTGGGGAGTGAGGGGGAAATATTGGGAAGTGAGGGGGAATAAATTTAGGTGAACAAGAACAATAAGAGTTGCCACAGGCATCCATATAACAACACCTTTAAAGTATACAACAGAAGTCTTGGATAATGATAAGGATAATAATGATGATAATGATAATGACATTAATTAAGACTAATTTTGTCATTTTATGATAATTAAGAACATATCGGATTATTTAAGTAAATTTCTGTGCCCAGAAACAATATAGATTACTGCTCTAGTAGCAACGTGGACGGAGTAAACAGGCAGTTTACTCCAAGGGAGTTTGGAGGTTTATATTCAGCAAGTAAACTTGCTGAATATAAAATTATCGGACATAAATTATTTCATACTGATAGACGAGGCGAGGAGCAACAGTATTTGTCAGAGAAAACTGTAAATGTGGTGTGAAAGAAGGGATCAAAACAGAGCCACACACACTGACCAAACCACACACTAGAAAGTGAAGAGACGACGACGTTTCGGTCCGTCCAGGACCATGATCAAGTCCATTGTGTGACTTGAGAATGGTCCAGGACGGACCGAAACGTCGTCGTCTCTTCACTTTCTAGTGTGTAGTTTGGTCAACATTTTCCAACCAAGTTATTGTGACTCCTCGTCTGCACACTGAAAATATTTGGGTAGAATTTACTGAAAATTTGTGTCATCAAACTTTGACACAATGGAAGGAAAAAATATATTGGACGAAATACCTAGATTTCGTCCCATGAAAATCTATGCTGTACACTGGTGCAATCCTTCTATCCTCCTCCAAAAGATCTTCTTATAGATATATTGTGATTCATTCTCTCCGTGCGGTTATAAAACACGCTTCTCTACCTGCGGCAGCATGCGGTGCGTGTGGAAGCAGCAGCTGCGGCCGCGGCCCGACAGGAGGAGGAGCGGCTGCGGCACGTCCAACAGGCCGATGAGCAGCGGCGCAAGCAGCAGTGTCACCAGTACAGGTCAGGGCATTTCTGGGCATCCTGAGACATTCAATATTAATTTTGGGCCATGTTGAATCATCCACTATCGTCATGAATCATCCTGAACATTCAGCACCGCTCCTGTGCCAGGTAAGTCCACTACGGGCTCATCATAGCCCTTGCTACTTGCCCCGCTCCTGTGCCAGGTAAGTTACGGGCTCACCATAGCCCGTGCTACTTGCCCCGCTCCTGTGCCAGGTAAGTTACGGGCTCACCATAGCCTGGGCTACTTGCCCCGCTCCTGTGCCAGGTAAGTTACGGGCTCACCATAGCCCGTGCTACTTGCCCCGCTCCTGTGCCAGGTAAGTTACGGGCTCACCATAGCCCGTGCTACTTGCCCCGCTCCTGTGCCAGGTAAGTTACGGGCTCACCATAGCCCGTGCTACTTGCCCCGCTCCTGTGCCAGGTAAGTTACGGGCTCACCATAGCCCGTGCTACTTGCCCCGCTCCTGTGCCAGGTAAGTTACGGGCTCACCATAGCCCGTGCTACTTGGAACTTGTTCCGAGTAGCTGACTCTATAACAACAACAACAACATCCTGAGGGAGGCACTCTTTCTCTCTGGGTCATCCTGAGACATTTTGACCCCTGACGCATTCATGGTAAATGCAGACGCATGCCATCCCAGGTGACTAAGGGGAGACGCATGCCATCCCAGGTGACTAGGCAGAGACGCATGCCATCCCACTTCACTAGACAGAGACGCATGCCATCCCAGGTGACTAGGCAGAGACGCATGCCATCCCAGGTGACTAGGGGGAGACGCATGCCATCTCAGGTGACTAGGCAGAGACGCATGCCATCCCACTTCACTAGACAGAGACGCATGCTATCCCACTTCACTAGACAGAGACGCATGTCATCCCACTTCACTAGACAGAGACGCATGCCATCCCACTTCACTAGACAGAGACGCATGCCATCCCACTTCACTAGACAGAGACGCATGCCATCCCACTTCACTAGACAGAGACGCATGCCATCCCACTTCACTAGACAGAGACGCATGCTATCCCACTTCACTAGACAGAGACGCATGCCATCCCACTTCACTAGACAGAGACGCATGCTATCCCACTTCACTAGACAGAGACGCATGCTATCCCACTTCACTAGACAGAGACGCATGCCATCCCACTTCACTAGACAGAGACGCATGCTATCCCACTTCACTAGACAGAGACGCATGCCATCCCACTTCACTAGACAGAGACGCATGCTATCCCACTTCACTAGACAGAGACGCATGCCATCCCACTTCACTAGACAGAGACGCATGCTATCCCACTTCACTAGACAGAGACGCATGCCATCCCACTTCACTAGACAGAGACGCATGCCATCCCACTTCACTAGACAGAGACGCATGCCATCCCACTTCACTAGACAGAGACGCATGCCATCCCACTTCACTCTCCCGCAATACTTCCTCTCCCTTTCCTCTTCCTTCTCTAGAACGAAATAGTTAAAAGCGACTGAAAAAATCTGACAGGCGGAAATATGGAGAGAGAGGAACAGGGTGCAACAAAGGGGGAGAAAAATGTTGTAGAGGAAACACAGAGACACAGAGTCGGGCTTCCTCGCCGTGATTGGCTGGCTGGCTGGCCCCTCTCTTGTGCCTCACTGCTCTTCCTTACTCTGCCTCATTGCTCTTCCTTACTCTCTCATTACTCTGCCTCATTGCTCTTCCTTACTCTCTCATTACTCTGCCTCTCTGCTCTTCCTTACTCTCGCATTACTCTGCCTCACTGCTCTTCCTTACTCTCTCATTACTCTGCCTCACTACTTTCTCCTAAAGTGCTCCTCTCTCTCCAGTCCCTTTCTTATTATCATTCTATTGTCTCACATTTCTCCCTCATACTCCCTTTCTCATAACTCTCCCTCACAGCTCTGTAATACAGTTCTCCCTCACAACTATTCCTCACAATTGTCCCTCACATCCCTCTTTCCAACTTTTGCTTCATAAGTTCAGACCTTGTTTTAAACCTCCATAATTCTCCCTCAGTTCCATTTCTTTTCATTTTCATTATTTCCTTTTGACTCTCTCCTTTTCTATCTCTGCTCCTCCCTCTTATTTTTGGGTGCCTTTTTTTCCCCCTCCCTCATTCTTCACTTCGAACTCTCTCTCTCTCTCTCTCTCTCTCTCTCTCTCTCTCTCTCTCTCTCTCTCTCTCTCTCTCTCTCTCTCTCTCTCTCTCTCTCTCTCTCTCTCTCTCTCTCTCCGTCACTTTCCCCTACTCTCCCTCACTCTTCCTCTCTCCTTCACTCTCCCCTCTCGTCTCACTGCCTCCTCTCTCTCTCCTCTCTCCCTCGCAATTTCCCCTTCTCTCTCGCTCTCCCCTTCTCTCTCTCTTCCCATCTTCCTCACTTTCCATCCTATTTTCCATCTCTCTTACCTTCTCTCGTGTTCTCTTCATCTTTTTATCTTTCAATACAGGTTCCTAATTGTGACTCCTCTCTTCATCTCTCTCTTTCTTCTCTATTCCTTCCTCTCCTTTACTCCCCTTCCATTACCAATTCCATAATGTTTTTGTTTTTACTTTTCAGCAACTTCTCGTTCCTTCATTCCCTCTCACTAATGAGGGAAAATGAGGGAGAGGCGAGAGTGAAGGAGGTTCGTCATTTTCTCCCTTTCCTTGGCCATTGTGCTCTTCCCTCACAAGATAAAAAGACTAATGACACCTTGAACCGTCTCTCTCTTTCTCTAAAATATATATTATATATATAAGCAGCAAAGACCTATTGCAGAATATATAGTCTCTATACATAAGTGTAAATGATATAGTCTTGAGGGTACCCGACACCAAGCGAAGCACTTTGAAAGAGACGAATGCAATCTGTTTTTATATCCTCAGTTGAGGACTGTCAGCTCCCAACGCCCTCAATATATGGACAAGACACCAACGTCTCCTCCCATGGCATCTGACAACGCGTAAACACTCTTGATGTCTCTCTCTTAATCTTTGTATATATCTCTCTATCACTGTTTTTCATCGTCATCTCTAATTACATATCTTAATTGTATCACTCTTATCTCATTATATCGATATGTATCTCATTATATCTCTATGCATCTCATTATCTCCATACCTCTTATTATCTCTATATGTGTCTCATTATCACAATATATATCTCATTACCAACTTATTTTAATTTTGGCCCTAAACGCTTTTGCGTAATAGTGGCTTCTACCACTATTAGAATAGTGGTAATAGTATGTGTAACTCCTGTTCCCACAACTGTACATTACTCTTTTGTTCATTATACACACATTCTATTGAATACAATTATTATTTTGAATCTCTGATACTAATTATGTATCTTACTATCTATGTCTCTGGTTATATATCTTAATATCTATGTCTCTGATTATATGCAGGCGATAAGTCATAATAATGTGGCTAAAGTAAGTTGACCAGACCACACACTAGAAGGTGAAGGGACGACGACGTTTCGGTCCGTCCTGGACCATTCTCAAGTCGATTGTGATCGACTTCACATTCACAAATTTTGAGAATGGTCCAGGACGGACCGAAACGTCGTCGTCCTTTCACCTTCTAGTGTGTGGTCTGGTCAATCTCTGATTATATATCTTACTATCTATGTGTCTCATTCTCTCCCTCTGAATCTGGTTATCTGTGCCGGGCTGACAGGGAGGCGTACTCGAGGACGCTACAGAGGCAGCTGAACGAGGCCAGGGCCGACGAGATCACCCTGAAGGAGTACATGAGACATCAGTATGGCATCCCCCCTCCCCCAGGCAAGAGGCCCTGATGTCCCTCTGACCTCCCCCTGACCACACCTGACATCACCACATACTCCACTGAACGACACGATACCACCGCATATGGGCAGCAACACGTGTTGACGTCACATGATGCGGGGGAAAGCATCAATGTGAGCGTTCAAAACAGACGCCAGCCAGTGACGTCACCTGCAGAAACAGGCGAAGACAAATTGAGTTAGACTGACATCAAAGTTACCCAACACCTTTACAGGACATAATTGATATCTGATATTGAAATAAAATGTCAGAACACCTGGTTATATTATTGTACATGTATAGCTAGTAAGATATATTTAGAAATTGCGAGGCTTTGTGAAACAGCACAAATGTGTATGTTTTGAGTGATTCAGTTGCCAGCCTGATGGCAGTCACACAGCGACTGTCACTCAACCGTCCAGTGATAGGTGTACACTCACACCCTCTCTGCCACTCCCAGGTTACTCACTCACTCACCATTTCTATTCATCGTCCTGGTTTTTCTCTATCCCCCTCCAATTCTCAATTAAATTCTCTTGTGTGCACTCTGCACGCAATCATCACCCATTTGTTCGTTCCGACCACCACTTCAGTACACTCTACTCTCCGACCACCACTTCAGTACACTCTACTCTCCGACCACCACTTCAGTACACTCTACTCTCCGACCACCACTTCAGTACACTCTACTCTCCGACCACCACTTCAGTACACTCTACTCTCCGACCACCACTTCAGTACACTCTACTCTCCGACCACCACTTCAGTACACTCTACTCTCCGACAAACCACTTCAGGATATGTAAATGTTATGGTATTTTTTCTTAGACGCCACAAATTCAACCGCTTTTTAACATTCGTACACCACCAGCTCTTACATCCATAGGTAAACATTAGTAATATTCGTATCAAGTACAGTGAAAGCTAGAACTTTCTTCTCCGTGATCACTGTTAGGTTAGTACTTCATGCAGCTTATCTCTCTCTTCCTATCTTCACAACAAAGGTCTTTGACTCTCCAGTTTTCATCACCGAGTTCCCGACTCAACGTGTTTTGGAGAACAAATCCATTATCCACATCATCTAGCAACCTTCTCTCACATATGCCGAGAAAAATGTCAGTAATATGTCTTATTACTGACATTTATGTCATTTATATTACAGTATATGTCTTATTTTATGCCTAAAGGACTGAATCATCTTCATACATCAAACTAGATTCTGTATTTTAAATATTGTCGCGAAGAACAACATTTAGTTGCTTTTCGCAGTGAACATATAATTAACTTTCATGACAAGTGGTGTTGCCACTTGCAAAAGGATTATACATGCGGGATAGTCTTTCATCGTATCACCGAATCACTTATTTTGATCAAGGGAGCAGTAGAACAACACAAGTACACTTTCATCTTTTCAAGTCCCATCTGATGATGATGAAGATTAAACCACCCAAAAGGTGGCACGGGCATGAATAGCCCGTAAGTGGTGACCCTTTTGAGCCATTACCAGTATCAATAGCTGATACTGGAGATCTGTGGAGGTGCGACTGCACCCTGCGTGACGGGAGATGTCTCCCGTCAAAGTCCCATCTCCACCTGCCTCGTATATATATTGGTCCAGCCATCATGATGGAGATATTACACACTCCTAAATTAAAAATAATAATTCCTTGTGTCGGCGGACAGGCCGCCATTAGCGGTAAGACCTACCATTAATGACTTACTGTAAATATATAGCTCTTAAAATAGAACATTCGCTGTAACTTCTGACATGTAACTATAAGGTGTGAAGGATAGAAGAAATTGTTTATGTAACAATGTAAGATGAGGTCTGATAAAGACCTTTTGTGCCCTCTGTAATGCTTTTGCGCTACCGCTCACAGGATGAGTATGAGGTGCACACTCTACACAACAATACAAAGCAATCGAGTGTATTCATACACGTTAGTATATCGAGATCCCATCTACCCTCTTAAGTAAAAATAATTAATATTATTACTACTAGTAATAATAATAAATAAATAATAAAATCAAGTTTAATTAACCAAACCACATTACATATTAATTAATTAATTACATATTAATTATTAAACAAACCACATTACATATTTTACACAACTGTTCCGTTCTCAATATATTGAAGCGTATCTGAGGCAAAATTTTGAAAGAAATATTTCTTAATGAGAGTCACCTCTGTTGAAACCCGCTTTACATGACCGACTTGTGTATAATGTATGCCTCATTATAACGCACGCCTCACACAACCCGTCCACTCCAGTGTTCCCAACGTCGCTAAACTGATGTACTAAATTGCCCGAACCTAACCTAACCGAGGACCCACGAATAGAAAACGAGACATCACGTCAATTTTGTTCAGCTCAGTTCTATATTACAAGGTGACAACCACAATTTAAAATAAACAATACTACTCTCCCGGTTTGCAACAACCATGATAAAATAATTGACAAAACTATCTGGTATCTATCAACACTATCAAGATAATACAAACAAGAACAAGAAGCAAAAACACTCATATGGAAACACAATACATGATAAAGAAACGACATTCACTAAAATATTTACCTTGTCCACGCAGCAACACAACAAACCCGTGGAACCGCCTACCCGCCGAAGCTGTAAATGCCAAAACTCTGCTGGGGTTTAAAAATACAGCTGGAAAAGATCATGAGGGCCAATGGGGGGGGGGGACTTTTGACAAGCCGCCGGCTTCCTGTCCTCGTCGAGGCCACTAGTATCAGTGGCCCTCAGGTAAATTCAGGTAAACACCCACTTGTTGCGTCGACAAAGTCAAAGAGCACGATAAAATAACAAACTAAATACAAGAACTAAATTACCGAGACAGCGCGTCGACCTGTCCTCAGGTTGAGGTCGTCCAAGTGGCGGTCGACCAGGAGCCACAGGTTAGGCTCGTCCAAATGGCGGTCGACCAGGAGTTACAGATTAGGCTCGTCCGAGTGGCGGTCGACCAGGAGTTACAGATTAGGCTCGTCCGAGTGGCGGTCGACCAAGAGCCACAGGTTAAGCCCGCCCAAATGGCGGTCGACCAGGAGTTACAGGTTAGGCTCGTCCAAATGGCGGTCGACCAGGAGTTACAGATTAGGCTCGTCTAAATGGCGGTCGACCAGGAGCCACAGGTTAGGCTCGTCCAAATGGCGGTCGACCAGGAGCCACAGGTTAAGCCCGCCCAAATGGCGGTCGACCAGGAGTTACAGGTTAGGCTCGTCCAAATGGCGGTCGACCAGGAGCCACAGGTTAGGCTCGTCCAAATGGCGGTCGACCAGGAGCCACAGGTTAGGCTCGTCCAAATGGCGGTCGACCAGGAGCCACAGGTTAGGCTCGTCCGAGTTTTGGTCGACCAGGAGCCACAGGTTAGGCTCGTCCGAGTGACGGTCGACCAAGAGCCACAGGTTAGGCTCGTCCGAGTGGCGGTCGACCAGGAGCTAGGCCACAGGCTAGACTCGTCCAAGTGGCCAATGACCACTATTGGACTAAAGAGCACTTGGCTAGTGTGTTTGGAGGAAGGGTTCATAGTCCCAAGCCAATAACAAATGAGATGTACTCGCTGCTTCGTCCTGATTGGTAATCAGAGCTGTTCAAAATGTTAATATTGAATTTCGTGAATGCTGTAGCCTTTGTTTGTGTAAATAATTAATATTTTACTTAGCAAATTAATTTGTACGTATATTCACAAACATATAAACAGATTAATTGTTAAATAATTAATTAGCGTTTATATTGTTTGTTTTTCTGAATTATTTGCCTGACGAATCTCTGAAATAAGCTGCCTCATTTTATTTATTATAAAAACACGTTTTCTGTAACTTAGGCCTATAGTACGTTTTCTATCGTATTGAATTACACATGTGCTCACCATAATACATTATAATTTCTTTCTTATATAATGATGTAAAAAAAATCACTTGCAGTTACTTAGCATCAACCTATCGCTTGTAATGACATAATTTACATTATACAAAGGCCAGCATAGACCTATTTACAGGCCTGGACAGTAGGGGAAGAGGGGGGGGGGCAGGTGGGCCAGATATCATAGGCCTACGAGTCTGAGCGAGGCCTACTTGAATAAAATTGTTTGCGATTATCTTTTCACGTAAATTGAATTTTGTAACTAGCTCATCAAGATTGTAACTTGCTTAGCTAAATGAATTGTGGGGTTCAGTCCCTGAGCCCACTATGTGCCTCTGTAACCCTTTCCACTACCGCCCACAAGATGGGTATGGGGTGCATAATAAATGAACTAAACTAACTATCGTAAGTCGCATTATTTCTTGAATGCTGTAGTGTTACTTATAAGTACTGTACTCACCTAGTTGTGCTTGCAGGAGGGTTGAGCTTTGGCTCTTTGGTTCCATCTCTCGACTGTCAATCAACTGGTGTACAGATTCTTGAGCCTATTGGGCTCTATCTTCATTTGAAACTGTGTATGGAGTCTGGCTCCACCACATCACTGCCTAATAAGTATATCACATACACTACATGTATATGTATACTAATGCGTAGATCATATGTATTTACCGCTAATTGAAAAATACATAACAAGTAGTTTGAAAACGGGTCCTACATTGCCATTCTGACCTGGGTCTATTAACAGCTTTGCACGGGCCTGTCTGTCTTTCGTAACTGCTTCACTACTCTTGCACAAAGGTAGAAAAGAAAAGACAATTTTACACAGTCCTGTTTAAACTCTTCGTTTAATCTTCCACATTCTGTTATATATTTGAATTAAAATTGTCTTATAGTCTGTGGGATTCAGATGAAATGTGTTACAGCCAATTGAAGAGAGATACAATGCACAACATTGTTGAGACCTGTTACATTCAACGA